ATTGCAATACATATGATGTTTTCTTTTTAAAAAATACGTTTTTATTGATTTCAGAGAGGAAGGGAGAGCGAGAGCGAGAGAGAGAGAAAGAGAGAGAGACATCAATGATGAGAGAGAATCATTGATGGGCTGCCTCCTGCATGCCCCCCACTGGGTATTGAGCCTGCAACCCAGGTCTGACTGGGAATCAAACCGTGACCTTCTGTTCATAGGTCGATGCTCAACCACTGAGCCATGCCAGCTGGGCTTAAGCCTATTTTTTAAATACCTTTTAATACAAAGGTTTTCTACATACAACACAGTTATTATTTTGAAGCAAATAGGGTTCTTCATTTCTTCAACATTTAAGTTAGTCAAGATTTTTTGATGAGATATTATAACCATGTAGGATGATAGCTGAGAAAGAAATGTTGAAAAGATCTTATTTGTCAGGTCTTTAAAACATATGCTTTCACATTTAACTTCGAATACAATTTTCATTTTGTATAACATCAGTATTTTATAGCCTTTTGTATGTTTATTGAATATGGCATTTTGCTTTACTTTGCAATGTTGTTTTCTCTTTGGCATTAAATTATTCTTAAAATTTCTTTGAAATATCTTCTATGCTTTATAAATTATTCTTCCTTCAGAACTGGATTCTTAGATATTAAGAGGACTTATTTATTTTTTATTTCTATAGTCTTTAGAAACATTTGATTAATTGAGTTTATGACCAATACTAAAATGTATCAGTCACAAAACTAATTTAAAAAAATGAACTTTCTGTAAAGCTATAAAATCTAATGGCTGAGGTGAATATGTTCAATGTAATTCCCTTTTTGTTCCTATAAAAATATAATAAATTAATGTCATTACATTGTAAAGTTTTGAAAAGCAGTGTTTTGAGTGCAGAATTTCAGAAGAGTAACATAAAAGCTCCATGAAGCCAATTCTCTTAGACCAGAGCTACTTTACAACTTGTCATCTATATTTCTTGAGTGTTCATAGAGTAAAAATTCAACTTTTAAGTAGTGAGTAGAATTCAAATATTTCAAATATTTGGTTGTCAAGGTGTTGAAAATAATAAATCTGAGCATTGATTACTAAATGCAATGGAGACTTCTATTTTTGTGCAATTAAGGTATTCAGAACATAATCTAATGGCTGCACCTCTGTGCCCTCTAACTTATTACCATCTTGTATACATTCCCTACACAGCTACGTTTTCATTCCAGAGAGCCAGAATTGCAGGCCATCTTTGCCTAGTTTTACCCAGTGTTCCAGAAATGTAACATTAAGAGACTTAGATCTTTTGTGACATCAACACATCTGCTATTTTAATTTTTTAAATAAAGGGCATTGTAATAGTTGTTTCCGTCTCTTCAGAGTAAAATATTTAATCTCTTTAGGTAATACAGAAATTCCCTCAAAAGCATGGTTTTTGAACTAGTAAGATGGTAATTATGCATAGCCCACCCGAGTATGGTCTTTTCCACCAAAAACTAGCTGGAAACAAACAAAGAGCTACGATCTGCCACGCTGCAGCAGCATCCAGGGTTGGCTGTAGCTGTGCGTGTGGACTCCCAGGGAAAGAGATCAGGGACTCAGTCTGTTCTTGAGTGTGTGCTGGGAAATACCCATACACGCCTGCATAGAGACAGAGCGGCATTTGTTTACGCGTGGAGTGTGTATTTGTGAGGGTCTCCCCATTCCCAGAGTCTCTGAGCTGCTTTAAATACTTGTGGTGTTCTCGGAGACAACCCACGCATTTCCTTCACATGCGATAAGGACACCAGTCAAGATGTTCTCCTGCTCTTCCGTGCGTTGACATCATAAGGGAGTGCAGTTCATGGGAAAGTGGGTGTGAAGGAGCCACGGGTGTCTTTCGTAAGTTACTCTACCAGATTGTAGCCCAAACTATTTTCAAACAGTGGGGGCAGGGAGGGGACTGCCTTTCTCAGTAAGAACAGGAATAACAAAAATCCTTAATGACTTTGATGGATAATAAAATATATTACTAAGAGAACTTACAAATATATAACTCATAGTGCCTTACATTTAGAATTCCAGCCCCTTTTATGGTTATGATATAATGAGATAATGTGGGCCAATTGATTTGCACTCCACATCTTGTATTCAATAAATGTGAGCTTCTATTCAGTGTTGTGAGAGTAATTTATTTTCAGTCATACATTTATTAGTAGTAATAAAAATTGTGGTGGTATTGTAGGGCAGCCCCATTTTCAATCTAAATTACATCAGATATTTCCTGATTTCTAGATAATGTATTTTAATTGCAATTTAATGCAGTTGGAAGGAGTTGGTTATGAATGCCTAATGTCTCTTTATCAAAAATTAATCATCGCTAACTTTTTATTTAAAATCACTATCGTGATCTCTCTGTGGTTTTCTATAATTCCAAGTGTTGCTTTCTAAATGTGTTGGGATTTTCATGGACTCTTACATTCAGAAGCCAAATGACTATGGGGCCGGATTGAGGACCACTGCTCTGGCAACTGTTGGTAGTCATTGTCCCACCAGCATCAGTCTGCCAGAGTTACCTCTTATTACTCTCACCTTCTTCTGGGTTAAAGAAGTCTTTCTAATCCTCCCCGCCCCCCCCCCCACTCCCCCCGCCCCGAAGCATCCCTAGAACCAGCGGGAACTACAGTTCCCCGAGATTGCTCATATACTTTAACATGGGCAGCTCCTACACATTTCTTCCAGGTTGAGTGTTCAGTGATCAAATTGTTCATTCATTTGACATTCTGGGCCATGACAACCCCAGACTTATTTTAGTTCCCAAGAGGTATTTCAGTTTACATACAACCAAGTAGGATTCATTCTCCCTGGTTTCTCTCCTTCCCGCTCCTTTACCAAGACCTCTGAGCATTTCAGAACATAGTCTTTAGAAGTGCCCTGTAACAGTACTCCTTAAATGCCTGCTGCACACCAACACCTGGAAATGCCTTAGCTGATCTGAACACCTGACACATCTTGTAGGAAATGATACACAGGACAGCGGTGTTTTCAGAGAGAGATATGGTGTAAGTTGTCCAGTTAGGAGTTTGAGGAGTGCCACAGGGAAGAGAGGGATGCTATTGGCCAGGGGAAATCGCTGCACAAAAACTGGGCCAAAGTCAGCACTCAGAGGAACGCCAGAACGGGGGCTGTTAACAGCAAACTTCACCCCCTGCAGTTTTTCCAAGGATGAGTCTTTCCTGGTTCTGGTACCTTAACCAGCAGGGACCCAGGAGTTGATTCCTTGAACCACAGAATAGAAAGAGGACCTCTATTTGTCCTATTAAAAAATAGAAAACAATTTTTCATAAATGGTTCAGTGTGACTCTTCACAACGTAGCCTTGCACTTGTTCTCCTTCTATTAGTTGACAGTTTAATGTCTCCCCCATTGTTTTCTGCTCCTGTCGTCCCACCAGGACACGTTGTCTCCGCCAGCAGGAGGGGATGGAACTGTTCTGTGCACTGGCACACACTGTCCTCTGCTATTGGCCATTGTTTCCTGGAGAGACTGGCTTCTATTGAGCAGAACTGGCAGCGTCTGGCATTTCAGCCTGGATGCCACCTCTCAGGCTGACGAGATGACACTCTGACTGACTAATTAGATTGGTTTTATAACCTGCTGCAGGGAACGGATGTGAGAGCACTCTGAGTTCACGAGCACTTTCAAGCTTGATATGTTGCCATGTTTCACTGGTCTCTTGCAGTGAAGGAAGATGCCAATTTTGTTTTTTGTGAATGCCTTTAAAATTCTTGATGAAAATTTCAAAAGTAAAAGAAAAGGGAGCTCTTAAAAGTAATTCTCTCAAAATGAGTGCAGGCATTTTCTCTTTATTAATACAATTCAGATTTTCACAGGAATCTTTCCATTTGTAAAAATAGTAGCAACATGCATCTCTCTAAATAGACTCTTGCAGACACATCTTAAACAAGTTAGTAAAACGTATGTAATATATGCACAGTGCCAAGGTATTTGTCCTAATAGACCACGTTGGGTGCTTTTCATATTACCTTGTAGCATAGCTTACTTGTGGGTGTTTACATCACGAGTGGCTTTTCAGCATATTTTCTTTCATCTTTAGGACTGTGAGGGAGGCAGAAGGTGTTTTCACTTTTATGAAAGAAAACGTGGCCCAAGAAGAAACTGTTGGGGCTAAAAGCAAAACTAACACTGGCTCTGCTCCTGCCAATGTGTTGCTCTTGGTGTGCCCTGCACCCTGGCCCTCTGGGCTCCATCTCCGAGCCCTGCCACGTGGTGCCTCGGGGGAATGACTCCCTTCTCATCTGTGTGTTTCCCTGGGTGACAGTGACAGGGAGGCTGCAGTGTGCTTTTAGAGCACAGTTTGCCTTGAAGAGCGGCTGTGTCAGGCCCTGGCTAGCACTACAGATTCTGGGGCCAGGCAGGAGGTAGCTGATCGATTATTCTCTCTCATCATTGATGGTTCTATCCCTCCCTCTCCCTTCCTCTCTGAAATCAATGACAATATATTTAAAAAATAATTGATCATAAGGCAGATTGCAAGGACAACTCAACATTTAAAACACCACTTAACCAAGCATCAGGCGTGTGGTTTACTTCCCAGACAGCTTTGCTTTGTGAGTTCTTGCAGTCCGAGAGGCTGATGCAGTGTTCAGTTCTCAAAGGCAGGCGTCCCTGTCCCTCCCATGCTAGGATGCCGGCCTGGGCAGGACAAGGGCCGCAGTGTGCAAAGACGCAGACGCGGGGATGGAAGGGCTGGCATCCTCAGCACTTCAGGGGAGGGTCCCTGGGGCTGTCCCCCACTACAGGAATGTCAAGGGGCTGCCAGCAACCACAGAGCCGAGTGGGAGGGCTCAGGTGGCTTTCTGTGCTTAGAGCCCCTGAGCATTGCTAGACAGAACCATGGGCGAACCTGGAACACTGTTCCCGGGCCTGGGGCTGTTTCCTCGCTGAGCAGAGTCACCAGGTATGCCTGGCTCATAACGGTCTTCTGTGGTGCATATTTCCACCTGTTTGTAGGGCCAAGGAGACCTGCTGAAGAGTGCAAAGAACGAAGCTCTGGAAAACATGAAGCAGATCCAGCTGGCGTGCTTGTCCTGCGGACTCAGCAAAGCCCCCAGCGGCGCGGCCGACGCCAAGAGCAAGCGCAGCCTGGAGGCCATCGAGGAGAAGGAAGGCGGCGAGGAGAATGGGAAGCTGCGACCCTGAGCAGCGTCGAGGAGGGCACCGTCCTTTGTGTCAAAGACTCTGTTTTTCCTTCTGGTTTTCTTTCCTGAAGCTTTTTAGACTTTCACAAAAAGATGCCATCTTTGGGATGTTGGACGTAAACAGGTATTTTCACAATGTCAGTATTTTAATGTAGTTAATTTATCTAAGTTAAACTGCTTAGTAGTAGTGTTTTAAATTCTGAGATGTGTGAACACACCATGTATGGATGTGGGTAGGTGTGTGTGTGTGTGTGTGTGTGTGTGTGTGTGTGTGTGTCTTTCAGGGAGAGAGACAGAAATACAGAGGGAGGTTGAGATCCTGTTAAAATCCATGCTGTATTGCATTATTCATTTAGTAAGTTATTAATGTATCATTTTAGGAAAAATTTGTTAACCTAAAATACTAAAGAGCACTCACTAGGACCTGTTGCTGCATTTAACTTTACTTCTCGGCCTTTGTCATTTAATTCAGAAATGTTGACATTTCTTATTATTAAAGGAAGCTAAATTTGCCAATTCATAGATATTTTGAGAGATTACACATAGATTAGCAAAATTCCTAACAATCACAGTAGAAATAAAAATGAATGAAAGATAAACAAATGATCAAAATTTCTGAAAAGATCAGAAAAGTCATTTCTTCAGTTAGTGAACTCTAAAATATTTATTAAATAAAATCAATTTTTAGAAAGCTTTATGTAGTTGTGTACTAAACAGATATAATTTCTGTGGAAAAGCTGATCATTAGTGAATTTATACCCAGCTATGTGGTACTCAGAAGCACAGTAAGAGCTCTTTTGTAATTAGAATTTTAATAATATTTAGTTACAAAATTTGAAGTTTGAGATTTGTAGGAAGGTCTCATTCTTCCAAACTGGGAGCCTAGCATTCATTTTTTATAGCAGACACGGGAAGCTGGAGGGTCTGGGGGGCTTGGCTTTGATAGCATTTAATTTAGAGTGCTAAATGGAAACTTAATGATATTGTTCAAGCAATATGTCATCACTTTGAGCTGGTATAAATTCTGTGGGTCAGATAACATCTTCCTAGTGATTTAAGAACTAATTGATTACAGAATGTTTATGACATGATTTTAACACATGCAGGAAAACACAAAAAGAAGCAAATGACTAATTAGGGTACATTTATAATTGCATCTAGATCATTTTTGCCCTAATATTTTCATAATGTACTTGAGTGTAATATGTTTGTTACCTCCAACAGAACTAAATGTTCTATGGTTATGAAAATATATTTATTTAAAACATTGCTTTTATTTTGAAAAGCTTCTTAATTAATTTGATTAACAAATATGCTAATTTGGGGGAACCTAGGGAAAATAATTGTTGAAATTTTGCAAATATAAACATTTTCTTTAGCTACCGTGTTATTTCTGACTTCTTAACACTATTATGTTCATGTTGCACATTACTGAAAGAGTAAAGATCTGAAACAACACTTTTACTGTTCCATTTTTGTGTGAGTTAATTGAAAAAAGAATGATAATGAAATTGGGTTATTATGTAAAAAAAGATGTTAAAGGGTATGCATTGTCCATGGGCCAGATATGATGAAATTTCTCCATGGATTTAACCGGGTTCTTGGGGAGGTAAGTGAGAGCTCATTTTGGTAGGTTTCCAAATGGCACTGAAATAGCCTGAGAAAGCTTTGGGGGTAGAGGGGTAAATTTTTATTTTTGTTTTTATTTCTGAGAGGCATTTACTTAATAAGAATTTTAACCCTGTGCTTGTCACATGCTCTGCTCATGCCTTTTGATGTTCAGAGCCCTCATTTCTGGTTTTTCCCTTTAACTTCGTCTGGTGCTAAGACAGCTCTGCCTACCTGTGCTCATAGAGGTGGTTCTATTACGAACTAGCAGCTTTGCAGGTTTAGGGTTCACATTAAATCTGCAACTCCCTCGAGCTGGATTTTGTGTATGGTGGAAGGCAGAGGCCCATTTTCATTTTCCCAGCATGCATCGTCAGCGGACCCCGCCCACCTACTGTGAAGATGGTCCTTTGTCCACGGCCCTGCAGTGCCAACCTTGTAAAAACTGCAACGCCCGTGTGTGTGTGTGTGTGTGTGTGTGTGTGTGTGTGTGTGTGTGCGCGCGCGCACGCGCACTTACTTCTGGAATCTCGGTTTGGTTTTATTGTTCTGTGCCTGTCCTGTCTTAATTACTGTAACTTTATAATGTTTTCTATCAGAGAGTATAGGTCTCCCCACTTTTTTTCTTCAACATTTTCGTGGTTATTTTTGGCTCTTTGCTTTCTCTATATACTTTAGTATTCCAGTCTGTTCACAGGGTGCATTTCTCCCATTTATTTAGGACTTAGTTAATTTCTCTTAATACAATTTTATAGATTTCTGTGAAAGGTCTTGCACCTCTTTCATTATGTTTATCCTTAGGTGTTTGCTGTTTTTCATACTGTTAGAAATAGTAACATTTTACAATTTAAATTTGCAAATTGATTATTAGGGTATATAGAAAATATAATAGGTTGTTTTGTTTTGCAACATTATTCTGTTTTGTGACAGGTTTTATAACCCTCATTTGTCTGTTGGGGAAACCAAGGCGTGACTGTGTAGGGGGCCCCAGAAGTTACACTTACTGTCTTTCAATTCAGTAACTTTTATTCCTCCACAGTTATTTTAGCAGCATCTTGTCCGAAAGGTAAAGGGAACAGTAAGTCATCCAGAGTATGTTTAAGTCCGAGTTAAAACCAAGGAGTTCCAAAGATGCAGTGAGGGGTTTATTCCTTCAAGTTTTTGTCATGGTGAACGTGTTACTAATATCCTGGTGTGTCATTAGGCATAAAAGGACTTCTAAATTCTTTAAATTTAAAGTCTTTCTAAATTCTTTAATATTTCCCAGGCCCTAATGGGAATATACATAGGAATATATTGGGATATGTATATGTTAATATATATTTGTTTGTTGAAAGATTTGTGTCCACATTTGTCCATTTCCAAATATGCCACATATATATTGTCCTCTCTTCAGTACAATCTCTTTATAAACAATGCATACATGTTTAGGTTTTAGGATTGCTAAAACAAACATACTAACAGCTCCTGGCACATTGCTTCATAGTCCTTTTTATCTGTCTTTTGTTTATGCAACCATAGATGTTAGCATTTCTAACAACGAATGCACAATTCCTTGATGGGCAAAACAAACCAGAGGTAGGGAAGGATCACGGCAGCTTTCACAAGAGTATTTTGCAGCACTTCTTATCTCTGCAGAAGGCAGTGAAGCACAGCTGCATGGAGATGCCAGTCAAACAGACCCTCAAGGGCAGGGTAACTGCTCAGGGATTAGAGGTTTTGCTCAGTAGCTGATATTAATGTCATAGATTCTTAAAGTTCTCTTCACCTGTTTCACTCGGGAGATGGAGCTGCTGCTTGCCAGCACATACAGGGTGAGTAATTGGACTCTGAGCCAGAGCGACCAGGTTCTAGGTGTTCTGCACAGTGTTCGCCATCAGTATAGCCGTACCTGGGCCTCCATGGATGCTGACATTTTTTCTCACACAGTACAGTGCTGCAGGCATGTGGGCCCAGGAGGAGTGAGGTCCCAGCACTGTGCTGAAAAGGCCCGACTAACGATCGGATTCCCACTGTTCCAGCCTCCTTGCCATATTTGGGTCCGGTTTCCGTCTTGGAGCCTCTGAAGGCCTTTCCTCCTTTTGCCAGAGCAGCAGGTGGACGGGCGGACGGGGTCAGGTGTGCAATGACAGCCTCCCTTTCCGGATTTCTCCTCTCCTTCCACGGAAGTCTTCCTGCTGCTCCCTCCACGCTCCGGATGTTTCTCTGGTCCCAGGATCTGCCCACTGATTCCCTTCTCTGCTCAAATTTTCATTAGCCTTGCGAGCAGAAATACCACGCTTTCTGGAAAACATTTTAAAATCTCAGGCCACCACCCAGAAATAAGGCAGGTAACACACTGAGTTTGCTCCTGCAGCAGAACAAGTCCACTTGCCCTTGTGGCTGCTTCATTGACCTTGACTCATGTGAACCATCCCCATCTCTACCTGGTTGGTTTTCCCATTTGCTCCCAGAAGTGTGTCTCTGGGCCTGCTCTCCGGGCCAGACCTTCCAACAGACCCCTCCACTGTGCAGACAAAGGGCGTTCACCCTAAGGCTGTGTATTTGAAGAGTCACCAGGAGGGTTTTTTTTCTTCTTGAAATATCACCATGAATTTCTTTACTATTAATTCATTTCTCTGTGCTATCAGGTCCATTTAGTTGTGAGGAGGAATTTGACCTCATTAAAAAAGATCAAATTATAAGAGAATATGCCAAATCTGTATATTGTATTGTTTTCACAGCTCTGAATAAAACATCTTAATTCAGAATGCTATTCAAAAATGTTAAGTGAATATTTATTATGTACTAGGTACATTGATTAAACACACATTATTGAACACCCTGTACTATACTACTAGGTACTGTGTTTCATTGCTTTATGGCACCATTAATTATAAGATGCAGGCTTATTTTATGTACCACTTAAAGGGTTTTTTTAAAGCTTATCAATTCAATAATAATAATATACCAACTAAAGGACACATCCTGCTTAAAAAATGGGTAAAGATGTCCTAAGGAGTTTATAGTAAATAAAGGAAGCAGAGATATTAGTAAATACGGTTATAATACAATTTGATAATGCGACAATGAAAGCTATGTAAATTACATAGTAGCACAGAGGAGGGAGGGATGGGCTCCAGGGTACACAGAAGGAGGGGGTACACTGGGTGTGTCGGGGAAATTTTTATGAAAAAGCCTATGGAGCCTCCCAGGGGTAAGAGATTTCTAGGTAAAAACTGTGGAAACAAACATTTCCAGCAACGCTGTCAACAATGAAAGAGCTTGGTGAGGTCTAAGGTGATACGCAACTGAGAGCTGGAATGCAATGTGCATGGGAAGAAAAGTGAGGAGGGGGTGCTGCCCCAATGGCTTGCGAAATGGTCTGCATGTATTTAATGGAAAGCCACCCAAAGCCTAAGCAGAGGGAGGCATGAGCTGGTTATTTGTGACATTAATTCATGAATATAATAATGATCTATCAGGCAAGTACCATATAGCAGACCTTGGAGTAGGTCTGAAATTCAGGGGTTGGCAAGTCAGAGTTGTTCCGTGTCCAGCGTACAGTCAGGGGAGAAGATAGGTGATTGAATGTGGCGATCATTACTTTTTTGACACAGAATATTAACACAGAAACAAAGGGGGCAAGCAGTGCCATGAGCACAGGCTCTAACCAGGTTTCCTGGGATCACAGCCAGCATCCTTTGGCCAGTGTTAAGCGCCGGCCTGTTTTGTCTTCCGGACAGAAAGTATAGTGTCCATCGGTGACTGACAGGGTGCTTAATGTGTTAATGGAAAATGGAGTTTCCACTGAGGGTAAGAATGCAAACAGAGTATACCCCTCATGAGCTTCTTGAGAGAATTAAATGGGAGTCATGCTGGCATATGATAGGCACTTAATAAAAGTGAATTCTTGTCAGTGTCATGATTGAGGAGCTCATGGGTCTCCCCAAACTAGTCCAGAGGGAGTCGAGGAGGACATCCCACCAGAAGGGAAGCCTCAGCGGAGACCTGAGAATGGGACCAGTGGGTGGATGGGGTGGAACATATATATTATATACACACACATATATTTTACACATGTTATATATGTGAAGTGTGTAATGTATATATATATCCCTCCCATTTCTCACTCTTCCTGGTGGTTCACTTCTCTTCCCTGGACTCAACAATTAAGCTATTACACAGACTTGTCTCAGCTACTTAGCTGGGAAGAACCCAGAATAAGCGAGTCGATGTTAGGAATGGCTCTAGAAGGCCCTTGGGATGGATTCTGGAACAATCACTCACTAGTCAGGTAGCACCAAGGACCTACTGCTGGTGGCACGCACAGAGGCGCTCCCTCACACACACACCTGGAGTAGCTTCGGGCCAGGTACAGGAAGAAGTGAAGTAATTGCTTTAGCACCTGAATGGCATGGGGTTGTCGGTAATTTAAAGGATGTGCCCCGGCTGTGGGAATCTTCAGGCATGAAAACAGCGGGCTCAGTTCCACCGCCCGCCCCGCGGGAGCCTGGAAAGCCGAGTTCCTTCAGGCCGCACGGCCAGTCTCCTCAGGAGGCCGGGAGGGCTGGGACACCACGCCTGGCTGTGGGGCTGAACGGACCGAGGCACAGGGGCGCAGGCTTCCTGTGCAAAAGCGAGGCCCCGCCAAGGAAGGCTTGGGGTGGCAACCTTTGGATGGACGGATCCAAAACACCTCGGCCCTCTGCATCTCCGAACCCCAAACCCCACGCCAACAGCAGTAGCCTTTCCCCGCCCGGAGGGTGGAGGGAAGCAGCCTCTTTGCCCTGGAGCCCATCCCAGGCCTGAGCTGAGGAGGGGCCAGGAGGAAGACCTGTACCCTGGAGAGGCACCCTCACCCACAGTCCTGCAGAACCGTGAGTACCTGCGCCCCAGCGGGCAGTGTGGCCTCCACTCACTCACCGCTAGACCCTGGCTGGGAGGGTGAAAGGACTGGGTGAGGGGACAGAACAGAAGGTGCGACGGGAGGGTGTACATTCCCCCTGGAGAATTCTTCTGTAACACGGAGTTCCTGGGAAGGGCAAGGACGAGGAGCTGATAGTAATAGGCCTGTTGCCTGGCTCCTTGAAGCTTGAACACAACGGTCCACAAATTACAGAAGGTGGAAATACCTGGGGGGCGGAGGAGGCAGGTTAGAAGTCTCGGGGAGCCCCTGCTTTCTCTGAGTTCAACAAAAGCAGCTCTGCCCCTGCTGCTGTGTCCAGGACGTCCACACACCATGTGGACTGCTGCCGCCATGGGAAGTGGGGACGCACCAGGTTGGCTGCTCTCCAAGACCTCTTCCAGCTCCAACTCGCCATGGCTCCAGGCGGTCAAGCTCTGGAGTCTGACTGTCAAGGTCAAATACAGGCTTTTCTGGGCTTCAAGGCCTAGGGCATGATAATTCACCTTCCTTAGCATCGAAGGTATATGTAAAAAGGAAGTAAAAATAGTATCTGCTTAATAGAATCATCATCTTAAATGAGGACACATGATAATTACAGCACAGAATCCAGCACATCATAAATGTTCCATAGTTATTATAGAAATACTAGAGGCCCGAAGCACGAAATTCGTGCAAGAGTAGGCCTTCCTTCTCCCGGCTGCTGGCACTGGCTTCCCTCTGGCATCCGGGACCTGGGCTTCCCTCGCAGCCCTGGCTATGTCCAGAAGGTTGTCCGGAAAGACGTCTGAAAGGAAGTTCGGTCTAATTAGCATTTTATGCTTTTATTATTATAGACAGGACTGTCCAAGAAATAAGTTCCTTTAGCCAGATTAGATCCAGCATAGATAGGCGATGCCATTATGGCTATACATATTTAAATAATCTTTAAAGAATACAGGATTTTTCATATCAAAGTATTTAATATCCACATTCTAAGTAGTGCCTTGTAGAATAACAGTGTATTAAACCTTGTCATCTTTATAGGTTCCCAAATGGTTGGAGATTGACAATTCTGTTTTCTACACATGTAAGCAGTAACAATTTTTAGAAAAGGCTCCAGGGAGTTGGCAGTGACATCTACTCTGTGAAGAACAGATAAACGGTGATGATTTTCTCTTGCACAGTGTCCAACTTTGACCTTAACTTCTGAACCTGGGTTCCATGATAAAAAACAGAGACAGCAAATCAGAATGGCTTGCTGGTTTGGTTTCTGTTGCAATAGAACCACTCAGCTAAGTCCTTAGGATGCCTATGAAACGCAGACTGTGACAAAGTGTTCATGCAATGGGCCATGGTGTCACTGTACTCACACCGGCAGGCCCTGTGAGCATGTGAACAGCAAAGATTAGTATTTGTTGTCTTGGGGTAGCGTTAGAGACACAAAAACAAGGAGTTTGCTGGTATCTTCAGTGAGGGTTTTACCTCGTCCGTTATACATCAGGATTTAATGGTATTTAACATTTTGGTGATCTGTTGCTATTTTTTCTCTCTCTCTGCATTTTATGTACCTGCTAAAAATAACAATTTTCATTTAGCAATCTTGCAATGCCTGAGCCATTTAATCAAGTATTTCTATAGCGCTTTCATCTTGGATTTTTCCTTCCCCAGTTTTACCTGGTAAATCCATGAACTGAGGCAGGAGTCTGAAAGGCTTCCTTCGCACTTAGCTCATGTGGTCCCAGGAAATGTCACAGAATCTTTGGATTCATTCCCATGGCAACAGGCAACTCCATCACAAAGGACCCTGCTAGCTTTTCTCTCTAAGAAGCTTTGCTCTATGTTCGAGATCCAAAGCTATCTTCGTTATTAATTTTCACACACTGTGATGCACGTGACGACAGAGATGCCTCACATCTTCCATACACGGGATGGGAACTCAACCGCCGCCGCCTCACGAAGCAGGCAAAATGAGAGTCAGGTGGAAGGGCTTCTCAGTGCCGTGGGATTGAGGGTTTGCATGGCTGGGAGGTGAGGACCCAAAAGGAGTGAGTGGTGCCCTAGCTGGTTTGGCTCAGTGGACAGAGCGTCAGCCTGTGGTCTGAAGGGTCCCGGGTTTGATTCCGGTCAAGGACACATGCCTGGGGTTGAGGGCTCGATCCCCAGTAGGGGGCATGCAGGAGGCAGCCAATCAATGATTCTCTCTTATCATTGATGTTTCTCTCTCTCTCTCCCTCTCTCTCCCTCTCTCTCCCTCTCTCCCTTCCTCTTTGGAAAAAAAAAAAAAGGAGTGGATGGGGACGAACAGAAAATAACAAATTAGGCACTGCTAACTGGAACAGACACATACACAAACATCAGCAGCACAACAGAGCAACACCAGGGCATAATCACAGCTACTCTGCATACGAACCACTGGCGTGCAGAGGTTTCTTTTCAGCCACGCTGACTGTGGAATTAGTCATGGAGATGAAAGCTGTCATCAGCGGTGTCTTTTCCACCACGTGTCTGTGCTGGTAGGGATATTAGCAAGGGCCACTGTTTGGGGTATGGCGGCTTTTCTGTGCCTGGAACCTCATTCTTTTATCACATTTTCTATGAAGTGACAGGAAAGCAAATTATTGGAAGAATTACTGGCTGAAATCTATGAAAAGATTCCATTTCATGCCTTGTGAAATGGCAACAAATCTGAAAGGCTGCCTGAAGGAAAGCCTTGTACAACAAAACAAAGCAAAACCCAGTGCCGCTCCCACCCCCACAGGCTGGTCCAGGGTGGGACTCGTTTAAAAAAGAAAATCTCCAGGTGATTCCAATGTGTGGTCAAGGCTGCTTAGCTTGATCACCTTAGAGATGATCATTTCATTTGATAAATGTTTCATTTGCGTGA